TCTCGTACTCTAATCCAAAATCCCAAAACTTTTCAGCTCGAGTTACAAAACCGCTTTCAGTGCCTAGAAGATTGAAATTCAGTGGAAAATATAAATGAAGAGCTCGTGGAAACTGTCCATGCGGTCGGAGCTAAGTTCTGCAAGACTCGCTGCATAAGAACACAAAAACTCTCCGATCACATTCTCAATCTCATGGCTGTTAGACGAAAGATGAAGCTGGAGTCGTCAGCAGATTTGAAATCATACGGGCAATTGAACAGACAGGTCTCCAAATGTATGCGGCGGAACTTACTTTTTTAACTTTAACACAGATCGTATTGAAGAAGCGATTGAGCGGAATCAGGGCTCCAAAGTTTTTGACAGAGATCTGTGTGCCAGAAAGAGCCAACTGTCAAAACTCAAGACTGAGTAGCGGCATCGTTTACGGGACACCTAAGATTTTAAGTTAGATTGATAGGTTCTATGGCAACTGTACATATCATAATTAGAGCCACACGCAAGTGTAACGATCCAAGAGCAAGTCCTAATCCGACATTATTCCGATGATATCCCGGACGTCAGTCTGAGCGAGATTAGAATGGCTCTCCAGTGCCTTAAAAATGGCAGGGCCCCGGCGAGGATGCAACTACAGCGAAGCTTCTGAGAGCGGGTGGAACATCAGTAACTAAGGTCCTTCAGAAGCTCTTCCGAGATTTCTCTTCTAAGCCGGGTCTACGTGCTGTTTTCGAGAGTCATTGCGAATCATCTCGCACGCAGACTCGACGACATCCGGACTCCCGAATAAGCCGGTTTCCGAAAAGGCTTCAGTACCATAGACCACATACATACCCTGCGGTTAATTGTACAGAACACCGAAGAGTACAATCTGCCACTTTTCCTGGAGTATGGGGACTATGAGAAAGCCTTTGATTCCGTCGAAATTTGGGCGGTGCTACAGTCCCTTCAGCGGTGCCAAGTTGACTGTCGGTATATCGAAGTGCTGAAGTGTTTCTACAGTACGGCTATGATGGCTATCCGAGCACAGAACCAGAGTTCGAAACCTATCCAAATGCAGAGAAGTGTAAGATAGGGTGACGTTTTATCCCCGAAACTCTTCACCGCTGCATTGGAAGACGTGTTGAAGCTACTGGACAGGAAAGGATACGGTATTAACATCAATGGCGAGTACATCACTCACCTTCGATTTGCCGACGATATATTCCTTATGGCAGAATCGCTGGAGGACTGGTGTCTCTCAACGGATAGGTCTTAAGATGAACATGGACAAGACAAAGATCGTGTTTAATGTCCATGTCACACCTATGCCGGTAGTTGTTGGGAGCATTATGCTCGAAGTTGTTGACGAGTATGTTTACCTGGGACAAATAGTCCGACTAGGCGTGTTGCCAGTGATGACTTACGGATCAGAGACGTGGTCCTTCACTGCTGGCCGTATGAGGACGCTCAAAGTCGCTATGCGAGCTATGGAGAGGACTATGTTCAGGGTTTCTCTGCGTGATAAACTCAGAAATGAGGATACACGCAATTGAAACATGAGTAACCGACATAGCCCAACAGATTAGTCAGCTGAAATGGCACTGGGCTGGCCATATAGCTCGAAGAACCGATAACCAATGGGGAAAAAAGGTTTTCGAGTTGCAGCTCTGTACCAATAGGCGTAGTGTAGGGCGACCCCCCACCAGATGAAGTGATAAAGATAAAGATCATTTTATTTATTCAAACATGAGTATACATACATATGCATGCAAGATGTTAAAAGAAAATATCTCGACAGTCATGTTTAGCCTCTACGGCGTACAAATGTTAAAAAAATAAATAAAAAGTTACAATTCTAATTGTCCTTCGCCTTATTTAGTATTAATAAATTATACAATAAACATTAAAACAGAAAACATACATCATTAGAGAAGAGAATCTATATATTTAAATATACTTGTACTTAAAACATACCTTTATTTACCTAAATGATTGTACAAATTCTTAGTCTTACATACTTACATTAGTCAATTTCGTATATTATTACTTTCGATTATTTTATGAATTCTACTTTATTATGTTCAATTAACAGTAAGTTAATGTTTAATAATTTATATAAATGTAGATATTATATGTCATAGCAGTTAGTGGTCAATGTTGTCTTGCAGAAAGTCATTAATATTGTAGTAGGCTTTATTTGCAAGGAAATTATTTAATTTATTTTTGAGTATGTTATTATTATGTTCTTTCCAGCGTTTAGGAATTTTATTATATATTTTTGGGCCCATGCAAAATATGCTGTTATTCATTAAAGTAGTTTTTGATTTATGTAGACGAAGTTTACTGTTATCACGTCTATTACGAACGACCGCATCAGACATGCATGGGAATAGGTTAGGATTGCTCTTAACGAAAATTGCGCTTTCCAAAATATAAAGTGAGGGTAATTAAATAAAAAGTCAATAATTTATATTTAATGAAAAATGGTTTACAGCTCTCCGTGACCTTTAGTTTGAAAATGGTCCTTATACATTGCTTCTGGGCTTTAAATACTAATTCTTTATTCGTAGAGTTACCCCAAAAGATAATGCCTCTAAGAATGGAGGAAATTAAACCATAGTACGATGTGAGAAGGGCATCGATATTGAGCATTAGTACTAATTTGTAGAGTGCGTAAGAAGATTTACTGATTTTTTTTATTAAGTCTTCTGTGTGTGTTTTCCAATTGAGTTTTTTGTGGATAATTAAGCCAAGAAACTTCGCGTTATCTACCTCATCAATCATTTTATTATTGTAGTGTGTATGTAGGATTGACATAGTAGATCCTCTTTGTGTAAAGTGCATAATATTAGTTTTTTCCAAATTGATTTCTAAATTATTATTTTCTAGAGACCATTAATGTCATTATTATATGTACCATTATTTTTATAAGGTGTATGTTGACTTTGATTTTATTTATAGGAATTTAGAGAAATCAAACCACACTCGTTGTACCATAGAATAATAGATAGAGTTTATTATTTTATAGAGCTGTCATAGACTACATTGACCATTGATTGTCATAGGTCAGTTAAACATCGGCTAAGAAAAGGCGGCAAATTTAAAATTAGTTTAACACTCCTGCCAAATTTAAGCCTTCTATATACTAAATTATTACAGCAGAAATAAAGTAAACAAACATAGGTACATACATATTTAGATTAAAGATTACATAACATATATTTGGATAACATTCCAATTTGGTCTCTCATATATTGAAATTTATCTCTAGGTAAAGCCTTAGTTAGAAAGTCGGCAAGTTGATTGCATCTTGAAACATATTTTAAATCAATAACTTTAGTCGTTCTACCGCTACGACGCGGAACGCATGTTGCTCGCTAGCGCTAATCCATTGTTTTTGCCATAGACTTTTAAATATTACGATAATATTGATTGTGCTTTTTCTAGACTGTATTTTTATTATAAACTCTTCTATCTTGGCTTGTGTATCTTCTGCTTGTTTGTGCTAAATTGTATACCTCCTGCTTGTGTATTAAATTAAACATTTTAACTATCAGTGTTGTGAACTTATTTGTATAGACTATTTATCTCGCTAAAATATTAATACGTTTCCGGATGGGCACATACTCAGCAATAATTTGATTTAAAATATTGTAAAATTTAGATACTCGTACAGCATCATCTATTTTTAAACATGGTTCCAATTCTGAGTCCCAGTCCACTTCGTTCAAACGATTTCTTATTATCCCATAATCTGCTAGAAAGAAGTTATACCCAGTTATAAATTTGGGAGGCAGTAGTGGAGGCCCCCGCACAGATAAAAGCATTGTGTGACTCTTACACTATAATAACACATCTATAATTACTTAATACGAAATCGAGTATGTTTTGTTGATGGTTCAATACATGGTTGAACTGTCTCAGATCATAAGCAGAGAAAAAGTCAACAAGGTCACGGGCGATAGTGCTGTCATAATTAGAGGGTCTTAGAAATGCATCCGCAGTGGGAGACCAGACAATATCTCGCTGGTTAAAGTCACCAAGCAAAAGCACGTCATCATCCAAGTCATCCATAACGCTACTATATTTATCCAAAAACTGCTCAAGATGAGTACGTTTAAGAAGGGACGGTAAATAAACACAGCATATGTGTAGCTTTGTAGTGCCTAAAATTAAAGTTATCCATAAATCCTCACAGCGACATTCGAAAGTGTAATTTCTATATGCATGGATATACTTCTTAACAGCAATAAGTACACCTCCTCCATCAGCAGCCATTACATTATTTGATGATCTGTCTCTCCTAAAAACCTGATAACGGTTGTCAAAAATTTCGTTGTCATATATACCATCGTTGAGCCAAGTCTCCGTTAATACAATCAAATTAAAATCATTGACACTAACTTCAAGAAAAATGTCGTTTAATTTTGTCCGCATGCCGCGAATATTTTGATAATATATGCAAAAATGGAACTTTCATACTAAAAGCACTTATCACTTTTTGAAATAGTAATATTTAATACTAATTAAACTAAAGACTTTAAAAAATCCTGATGCAATACCAACTTTGCTGGGTGTTCGTCGTCCTTTCTTAGAAAGATTTTTCCATTAATATTTGAATTTGTGTTCTTTGGCCCATATTCTTTTTATTGCGTGGAGTGATTTGTTAGCTTGTGTTGGATGCTCGGAGTTGTAGACCGGTGACTCCTTGTCACCATAACCTAGTAGTTTTGCGTTTAACTTTTCATTGGGATGAGATATGTTGTACTTATAAACAGCTGCAAGCAGATTGTCACGTTTCAGCTTATTAACGAGTCTGCATACAATTGTTTTAGGCAAATTCGACGTCTTGTTTTGCTTTTGTACACGATTACAAGATAAAACATCAGTTTCAGATAGAGGAAAACCTATCACTTTTCCAATTTGCATCACTGCATTAATTAGGTTTTCTTGTTTATGCTCTGGAAGACAGTGGATTTCTATGTAATTCTGCCGGGAATCTTGTTCCATACTGACAATCTTGATTATAGGTCTTTAACATTGCGTTGGAGCAATTCACTTTCAGAACGGAGTTGTTTGGTGTCCTGCATGTAGGCCTCTACTTTAGTCTTCATATCCTCAAAATTGGCATTCATGAAGCTTATAGAATCCTCAAAGCTGCGCATCTCTTTTCTCAAGTATGAGAACTCTTCTCTAATTGCCTCCCTTACTATAACATGTAGCTCTTCTTGCATGATGGTTCTCATAGTTAAGCGCAAATTTTCCGCCTCATTATAAGTGTTGCCACTCTCCCGTGCGTTTGTATTGACGTTACATATTTCATCAGTAGGACTCGCAGCTGTCGTCGTAGAACTCTTAAATGGTGTGTCATCATTCTTTGTCTGCCGCTGCGCAGATAACATTTCTATAGAACAATCAGAACATTTCCAGTTCGACTTCCTTTTAAAATTTGCACTGGTAAGATTTACACACAGATAATGAAACTGCTTTTTACAGCAGGATTGCGTACATGTGATTTTTTCAGTAATTTTTAGGGTGTTATTACAACCGCTACAAATATTGTTGCTCATTTTATTTACCTTTAGATGCAAAAATGTTTGAAAATCTTCAGTACGTTTAAACGCAGCACAATAATGGTCGAGTAGCCGGTCAGCGATTCAACGCGGCACGGTGACGAGTTGTATATGCGATGTCTCCGAATGAACCGATGACTCACCCACCGGTCGCCGAGTGAAGCGATGCAGCGAGCAGCGAATGTTAAAATGTTCGTTAACAAAAGTTTTCTTAATGTTTTCGATTATAACTTTATATTCCTCGTGTTTATCACGATACGGTTTTCACTTTTTTGTTCGTAGATGTGTAGACTACAAAAGTATAATAAAAAAACACCAGATATGAAGAGTTTACTATGGTAGGGAAAATAATTTCACAGAGCAAAACAACACACGTCTTTCCGTCTTCGCGTTATCTATTCGATACGATACTATTATTATTATGTTGGTTAGTTGTCAAAAAATAACAAAATATTGAAGCTTAATATTTACATTGTAAAATTCGGTAGAGAATACGGGGAGGACTCATTTCACCACCTACCAGAAAGGGAGAAAAACTTCTGTTTGTAATTATCTGTTCAAATGAGTTAAAATTTCATTGTACACGAGCACACAATATTCGATTGCTACTGGCAACCCTACCTTCTACGTGTATCTACTAGCTATTATAAATCCAGATAATTACGGTCAATAAAAACAAGACGATTTAAAAATGTAATTGGAAATATTTCCTCTTTTATTTCGTCGCAGTAGGGTAGTAGTACAAGCTTATGCTTGGATTTGATTCACTGCGGCTTCTTGGAATCAAATTACAAGTAAAACTTTTTCCATTATGATTAACCGATTCTCTTAGTTCGATTAAACTTACAGCGTTTTAATTTCCAAGAAATACAGTTATCTATATGATATTTTCCTTAATGTACCTGTGAGGATTAGACTCTAACGGCATCAGTTCTTTTGGAGGAGTGAATAGGCTTTTTGTAAGCTTGTACAATTATCGTTTAGGACTGAAACAGTAGTTATCAGGTAAGCTCTTAGGCAAGTGCTAGCTCATAATTTATAGAAAAAATTATAATAATACTTTTTGTTTTAATTCAATTGATTTTTATAAACGTAGAGCTCTTTACAAATACTATTCCATGAAATAATGTCTACATATTGTTAGTCAAATGGATTCGATGGCAACTTGCCGTAACGTCGGAGCTTATGAATACAATTCGTGCTCACGTCAAACGAACGAGGATCATACGTCAAGGGAGCGTTATGGATGACTACGAGATACGGTATATCGGAAACAGTTTTTATATATTAGTTTTTGCATTGTTTTCATAATAGTCTAATTGGCGCTAATAGTAATTTATAGCTGCTACTGTACATGTTGGGTCGATTTACAATTTAATTAGTTTTTTTAACCTTTTCTCAGTATTATTAAACTAGCTGTGCCCGCGACTTCGTTTTATTATGATGAGTGATGATGATTTATTTGTACTTTTAACTGTCGTGAATATCTAGAAAGATACTTATCGGGATAAAAACATTCAGTTAGTCAATCAGTCGGATAAACTAACGAAAGGAAAAATAGATGGATCCACAAATGAATCAGCAGACAGATTTTTAGTTGGTAGGGCCACGCTGCAGCTATATTAGTAGGTAGTATAATTGTAGCACGAATGGGTCGGATCGACGGAAGAAAGACTATGCTCTCAGAGGATACCAGCGTAAAATAGGAGCTAATTGCTGCTGTGTTTCGTATACTGAGTGTACAGAACCGGAGACCCTATTTGTGGAAAAGTGGCATTCCACCTTAATCTTCACAATCAAGAATAGATGTAGATGTCTATGGCCCACAGCAACTACTTTTACAAGACAATATTCGTCACGCCACACGTTATGCTTCTCTTCGTGTCCTTCGCTAACTGTTTTGTTGGTTTATTGGGCCCGAGTCAAGGTTTGGCAACAAGAGCGCGAGTGGCCAGTCGTTACGGAGTCATTGTTCTATTGCGATGGATAGATGTCATTCACCATCTGCGTTGACGAGGGCGACGACATATATTTCTTTTTATAACAATGATATCATTGGCTATAATAACTGCTTTTCTCGCTACTTCCCATGCCATTTGAAGATTGTCTGGCGGGGGGCTTAGATATGCAGGTCTCCTCACTATGTATTCATTAATTACTGAGCACGTTGTATGAACGGAAGGAAAAACGGTAATGTCCCACAGTACCGAATTTTGGTCATGTTGGCCAGTTGAACGGAGACTAGCCATCTGAGCATAACAAGATAATAGAGAACGAGTGTATGCGCAAGCACGCATTCTCCATTCCCTTATCGTCATAGTTTGATGAAACGGTAATCCAACACGACCGGAAAGAGAATAGGTGCAGGACCAAGGACACGGGGATGAAAGACTTTGGGCTGTTACTGAGAACTTCTTGAAAGAAAAAATGATTTTGTCCCGACCTGAGATGCAAACCCGGCACCATATCTACACAATCAGAGGTTTTACTCCCATTTCGTCTATGTATTTTTATTTTATGCATTATCTCTGACATGCCAATTTAAGATTTTAAAGAAACAAAAGATTAAATTATTTATTTACATATTTACTCCTTTTTTACCAGCTTGTAAAAGTTAACGGCTGGACAAAAATACCTGGCATTGTAGAAAATATTTACCGACATCCACCACTACGCCGCTAACATATTTGTAAGTTGGGGGAAGTTTTGTCGTTGCAAAAATCGGCCAAAAGTAACATGATAGCTGTACACAAAAGTGGCAAAAGGAATACGAAACTTCTAAATTTGTGATCACCGATACGTTTGCCTAATATGGCGATTACGTACAAGTTTCACTAGGTGGTTGGACTTTTATTCTGTCTAGGAGTCCGACTGGGTAGTCATCACTCCCTTGCCAATTTATGCAGTCATTAACAGTGCTTACGCTTCTGTGTTTCACTCTGAAGGGTGTAGAATACCTAGTAACTAGTAACTAGCAGACTAACTAGTATAATTAGAGGTTGTAAGGCATTGTGAGGCATCAGAGGTGATAACGCATCTGTAGACTTCTTTTTTTGAAGGTTGCTGTAGGTGCCTATGGTCTGCAGTAGCTACCAGGTCAACTATAGGCTCGTTTGTCACATCAATTTTATAAAAAAAAATGCACAATACAAAAAATACAAAACAATACACTAAATTCCAACTTTTTTATTGCATATAAACAAAAAAAAATACAAGGAAAACTACGAAAGGTGCACAGTTTTCTTTTTATACACGAACTTGGAATATAAAACAATTTAAACTGTACTCAAACAACTTTATAATTGGAAAATCATATTAAAGTCAATAAAAGGAACGTGAACAGCTTTAATTCAATTATGAGTGTTGCTTGCAACTCTCAATTAAAATCCCTTTTTGTAATTTGTAGAAAATTATGTTAAAACCCTTTTGTTATATTTGAGCCTTTAAGTAATTAATTGAAACAATTAATTACCAAAGATATGAAAATAGCGTACTTTGGTTAGTTTTGTGTTTAATTTATATTTCGCACGAATAACATGATTTTATTCTTCCTCCATTTTCCACCATCGAACAACCGGATGCTTGGCGGGTCATCGCCTCGTTTTTATAGACATTCCACGCATTTTAACTAAACTGTAATACACACTAATAGTTTGCCAGCACTGTTTTCTCATCCGATTACAGTGTCTTCAAGACAACATTGAGTTGTGGAAAAAGAAAATTTTAATAGGCGAAAGTGCACTTTACTATCTTTGGCTATAGAAAAATAAACTTTTTTTATTAATAAACATTATGAATAATACGTATTAAACGTATTTTTTTTTTTCGGAAAATACCCTTGTCCTGGGAAGAACTAGCAAGAAAACCAGCAGGGCTGGTTTTCTAAATAATTATTTTAAAACCAATACAAAATTACCAAAAAAATCAAATAATAAATTAGATATATAGATAGATTCGTAGCGATCACTTCATTCATATAAAGTAGTTAAGTCATTACATATATAAGTCATACATTTACATAAAGTAGTTAAGAATTCACTAAATAGTTAAAATATGTTCATCTATGTCCATATCAGCGGGGCCATGAAGATTCAAAGTGCTTGTAATGTCTTAGTCAAATTATGTAAATATCTTAGACAAAAACTGTTTTATTGGTTAGAGTAAACTGATACGAGCATAATAAACCTACAAACGATCATGTCATAAACGAGTCAACTTGACCGACATCAGACCATTCTCTCAAAGAATAACAGTTTATAATTTTTTTGGGTTGCTTCGAGTGTATGTTTTTTATAAAAGCGTGGTAAATATACAGATTGTTAACCGACTTTAATTATTCTCTTTTTGTTAAACAAGATTGTGGAATGGCATAGACGCCTACAGTTATCCTTGGTTAAGAATTAAAGTGCAGATAGATTGTCACCACTAAGGACCAAAATAGAATGCAATGAATATAATATTAAAATGTGAAATTAAAATGACACATTAAGGCACGTTAATTATTAATAAATATCTTATATTTTTGGACTGTACCCCATATCAACATGCTATAGAGCTAGAATATGTTCATTTAAAAGCATTATTGATGGGTTAATGTTATTGTAATGAATAAAACAGCTTTCATAAACTAAAAATATAAATATTAAATAAGGGAAAAATCATTTATAACTATTGTCAAAATATTTTTATACGTGGTAGAGCCATGCTGCAGTTATATTAGTAGTATAGTTGTAGCATTAATGGGTCGTCTCGACCGAGGAAGAACCACGCTCTCACAGAATACCAACGGAAATAGTAGCTTAATGCTGCTGTGTTTCGTATGATGATTA